CTCTCTCTCTCTCTCTTTCTTTATCGACAAAAAGTTTATGTTTTCGTAATGTGAAATTATCGCAAATGACAAATTACATTTTTTTAAAATTCAGTTCCGTTTGCATAAATAATTAACGACTACTGTTTAAAAAAACAAAAAACAAAATACCGGTCCGTAAATAAATAAAAACTAAAAAACCCAACGTTCGACATGTACTTCTTAATCATGGCGGATGCCTAACGCGCAACGCCTCCTACCGTCAACAGCGTAAATTAAATTTAAAATCAAAATGGCTGACGTTTTTCCTCCTTTTTTCACGTCGTGTGGTGACTTTTTAAAAAGAAACAACGAAAAAAAAAAGCCCGCATGGATGAAAAAAAAATTTCGTTTTCTCTTAACAAATTCCTATTCCTTTCAACAACAAATAAAAAAAAAGAAACGTTTTTAAAACAAAAATTGCAATGAGTAATTTTTGTTTAAATACGAATGCTGGGTTGCCAAATTTCTTCAAATTGCTTTCACCAAAATCCAAGAACATGAAATCAACCGACACACCGACCGATCGACCGATCGAATCCGACTCGAATCGTTTTTTCTTTTTTTAAATTTAAATTAAATTTAAATTAAATTGATAAAAAAAGGATACAATCTATCATTTCTCGCACGCTTCCCATGTCGTCCGGAGATGAATAAAAAGCTTTGAAATCCTTTCTTAAATCGATGAAACTATTGTAGTATTCCGGAAGATCGATATTTTTGTTACACGCTTCCGGGTGAAGGCATTGCCTTAGTGGCAATTCACCGTCCGTAACGAATTTCATTTGGTATGGGTCGATTTGAAGAGATCTTACATAATTTTCAAACTGAAATCAAAAAAAAAAAAAAATTAACGGGCAAAATTATTAAACGGAAAATTCATTTTCCCGCGCTTTTCTCTTTTTTTTTTTGAAAGCATTTCCGTTTTCGAATCTCAACGTATATCTTTTTCGTATCTGAATTTCAATCGTCGTCGTCGACGTCATCAATGTCGTCATCAATCACCACCCCGAATACTCGACACCTCGAAGACGACAAATTTAAATTTCACCCAAATTATTTTAGTAACTTCCGGCTTCGGGAGACTTTCCTATTTTTTTTTCTAGAATTTTCTTTTTTATTACGGTTGGGTTTTTGTGTGTGTGTGTGTGTGGCCACCTCACAGTAGTACAAACGTAACCATTAAAAAAAAAAAAAAAATTTCATTCGACTTCTTTTGCGGTTTAATTTTTTTGGTACGATTGCAAAACTTTAATTCCATCCAACACGAAAGGAGGAGGGGGGGGCTTTATAAATTACAAAAAAATGTTTTACGGGTGTACGTGCGAAAAAGTACGCGCGTGCGCGGGCGCGTAAAAAAAAAATAAAAAATTTTCCACTCGGTGGAAACTCTTTTTTTTTTTTTTTTTTTTTTTTAAACGGGTGAAAGGAAAGTTGTATTCACACGAATGCCAACCGGACCGTGGCAGCAGTAGCAATATTTTTGAATTCGATCCAAATATATAAAATAACCCGCCTTAAAAATTTAAATAAGAAAGTATATCACGACGATGACGATGGATCTAATGCCACGATTTTAAATAAAACTGGAGAAATTCAACAAACGAACAAGCAATTTACGTACGTCTATCGAAAAAAACCGACAATTTTTTTTTTAATAAACGTCATCAACGTTGCCAACCTTAAAATAGAAATGGAAATAATAATAATAATAATAAATTCAAACATTTGCCGAATCATTTAATAGTTAAAAAAAAAAAAAAAAAGGAAAAATCGTGTCGTCGTGAGGAATTCAAAGGAAAACCTACAACTAGATGATGATAATAATAATAATAATAATCCTTAATACGGCACTGAAATCAACAACAACAACAACAAAAATGTGAATCATTAAAATTTTTCGTTCTCTTCGGGGCACAAACAATCTCACTTTCCTATTAAAACGTGTTTACCCACCCCCCCTCCCTCCCTCCCTCTCTCTTTCTCTCTCTCTTTGATTTAAAGCTCGAAGGCACCAGAACAACAACAACCAGGCGGATGCTGGAATATAAAAAGGTGCTGCCACCACCACCACCACCACCAACTACTTATTTTTAAATGTTGCAATCGTAATGTGATCTCCTGGAATCACTGATCGAAAAAAGAAAACTTGATTTCTTTCGGGGACAAGTGTTGTCCCCCCCCCGCCCCTCCCCGTCGTTTGTTTTCAGAGAGAAATAACAACATTAAAGATGTGAACGGACCTTTTAAAAAAAAAAAAAAAAATGTAATAACGAGTTTTTTTTTCCTCCGGTGGTACCTCAAATATCTGGTAGTAACTCGAGACACCGATGGCACTTTTTTGAGGGGGGAAAAAAAAAAAATTGGTAAGAATAAAATGAACGTGGAAGGAGAACCCGCATATATATGATTATTACCATCATTGAATTCATTACGTATATGATAATTCTATCCATCTATCTATCTATCGTGTGTCGAAAAATTCTTTTTTTTTCTCTCTTTCTTTCTTTCCACGAAATATTTCGGCCATGTTTGAAATAATGTTCTTTCTCTGTGTGTGTGTGTGTGTGTGTGTGTGAAAGGAAAGATTCGAAACAACCGCGTGATGAATTCAATCCAAACCAGTTGTTCAAGTACGGCGTTACAAACGAGTCCCTCCAGCAAAGTTGAATCGAGTTCAACGAACCAAAGTCACAAGACATAATAATAATGATTTTACCTATGAAATATTCCTCTCTATCTATCTATCTCTATCTCTATTTACTCCTCTCTCATCTCCTCTTTCTATCTTACGCGCACCTACTATCTCTATCTAACAACAACGCACGCTCATTACTACATAAATTGTTATGCTCCTTTTATGCTATCTTTTTTTATTCATCATCATCATCATCATCATCATCATCATCATCATCATCATTATTATTATTATTATTATTATTTTCTTCAATTCCTCTACGCTCTCATTCGTATGTACGGTATTCCATGTACGCGATGATGATGATACAAACTAATTCATTGTTTCATTGCATTTTCATTCTTTCTTCCCTCTTTCCCTCTTTCTCTCTCTCTCTCTCTCTCTCTCTCTCTCTCTCTTTCTTTCTTTTTTCTCAATAAAAAAATTCGAATGAAGTAGTGATAATAATAATGATAAAAACAAAAAAATGGTTTTAATAAAATCCGAATTTCGTATCCGCGAACCTACTTAAACCCGCGCGCGCGAGTGTGACGTCACACACACACATATCACATCCCTATTAAAAAAACAAACCGTCGGAAGAGCAACAAGTCGAAAAAAAGTTCATTCGTCTCGTTCGTCTCGTTTCCACAATTAAAAAAAAAAAAACGCGAAATTAATTATTATACATACATACATTTCTTTTTTTTTTCTAAATGGAAATTATTTCTATCGATGTAAAAAATTAATAATAATAATATTAATACTAATAATAATAATAATAATACTAATACTAATACTAATAATAATAATAATAATAATAACGGCGTAAAAAATTTTTTTAAAAAAATTGTAAAAGGAAATTATAAGATAATAAAACTAGTTTTTACATTATTATTATTATTATTATTATCGTCGTCGTAGTCGTCTACGTTACGTAAAAACCGCAGCTCAATATTATTATAAATATCTCCCTCTTCCCCCTCCCGCCCCCCAGAGATTTTTAATAATAAAAATTCTTTTATCATTATTATTATTATTACTACTATCATTTAAAGTTTTGAAAATTCAAAAGAATCGTTGTATATAAATTCTTTTTTTCCCTTCCTCCTCTCCTCTTCTCCTCCCTCCTACTCCCCCACCCCTCACTTACTCACCACCAACGACAACAACTAAAATGGTAGAGTGAAGTGGTAGCAAGAATCGACACACAAAATTCAAACCACATACACAAAAAATGTATTGACCCCCTTCCCTTCTCTCCTCCTCTTCCTCGTCCTCCCCCCAATTAAAATGTAACAAAAGAATAATGGGGATTCAGGTAGATGATATTTAAAAAAAAAAAAAAAAAAAAAAAAGAACCCCATCAATGTTTGTTCGGATCAAGCGAGCGAGCTAGTGAGTAAGTAAAATGTACCCGGGAAAATTATTATTATTATTATTATTATTATTATATTATTTAGACTTTCGCGGCATTCTACTCTACAATTTTTACTTAAATTTTTTGGGTTATTACAAACACAATAATAAAGTGTTCCTACCCTACATAAAGGGAGTCACAGACAAAATAGCCAAATTGCTAACCAAAAGGAACATCTCCACAGTGTTCCTTCCCACTGCAAAAATCGCCAACTTATTAAACAACCCAAAAGACATCCTCCCACCTACAGATTACCCAGGAATATACAAAATCCCATGCCACTGTGGAAAAGTCTATATTGGCATGACATCCCGCTCAGTTCGTGCTAGAACAAAGGAGCACGAACGTCATTTAAGGCTAAACCAACCGGACAAATCAGCGGTGGCGGAACACGCCATCGCTGAAAAACATAACATTGATTTTCAAAAAACATCAGTACTGATAAAGAACCCCGATCCCTCACATCTACCATTTCTGGAGGCCATAGAGATCCTGAAACACCCGTTAAATTTCAACAGGGACTCCGGGACACAACTCAATCCCATATGGTCCCCCCTCTTAAAAATAACGAACTAACACCCCCCCCCCGGGAGATCCCTGGCATCATTGACTGTCTAATAATCTTATTGGCCAGTCAATGATGCCATTCATTCTCCTTTTTTCCTTTTTTCCCCTTTTTAAAATCTTTACAAAAATAATTTTTAACCTTTTGAATTACGAAAAACAGCCTACCTGGGCTTACAAAATTAAACGAAAACAAGCCTTTCAAACTTTTTCATTCAGTTTTGTTTTGATAGTGCAAGTGTTAAGTACACAGGTACGCAAGACTCCACTGAGGATGCCGATAGCTGTTCAAATCGGCGAAACGTTTGGAAAAATGGGTGAGTTCGCTCCATTTTCTAAAAATTTGACGCGGTGTAATAACCCAAAAAATTTAAGTAAAAATTATTATTATTATTAATCCTTTACGGGGGACAAGCGCCATATTTATAAAAAAAAAAAAAAATTCTTTGTCGTAAGGGCGTCGACGGGGAGTCGCAGCATACGAAGTAGCATACCGCGAATCATCGAAATGACGATTCAGTAATGATGACGACATTGATGACGACATTAATGATGACGACGACGATGATGATGATGATTATTTAGTGTAAAAAACTTACTTGTAAAATAACGTATTCGAGAGATAAACTTTTTCTAACTAATTCTTCCGTTATTGAGGTTTCCACGAGTATTTCCGACGACAGGAAACTGTCGCTCGTGTTGGCAACGTTCGGCCTAACTAAATATTGCTGTATTCCGACCACCTGAAACAAAAATTGAAAAATAAATAAAAATCTCTGCTGCCACGACTTGAATTTCTAACGTTTCGTTTATCTATCTCGTCCGACGGCTGCACAAATTTCAACAGCCTCTACGACATCGATGTGAATGATAATAATAATAATAATAAAAACAACATCTAAGGGAAAATTCTTTTGATAATAATAATAATAATAATAATAGTAATAATAATAATGATTACAACGTTCAAAATTACAAAACGAACAACAAAAATTTCCCTTTTTAATTATTAAAAAAAAAAAAATGGCGTCTTTCGATTTTCGATCCCGACGGCAACGAATAAAAATAAATGTAATAATAATAATAAT